AAATAATGCCAAAGAGGACAGGAATAAGGAAAATTAATCATCAACTCAATGCAAGTTTGTATCTATAAGCATACTAGTAAAAGCATGTAAAAAAGCAAATAAGAGGCGGTGAAATATCCATTATTACTAAAGTTAACTACTAAAGAACTAGTACAATTAAGTATGATTCTTCAGGTCTTATAATAATGAAAGAAAAATTCACATTTTTATTTTTTTTAATTCAAGCATTAATGAGATTAGCCTTTCTTCTGGAAGGTGAAATACAAAAAATGCCCAATTCTATGTATACATAAACAGATCCAGTCTTCTACCCTCTCCCAAAGGAATGATTAGAAAAATGGTAGAGCAAATTCAGTTTTTGTAGAATGAAATTATGCTTTTTAAAGCTTGGAGGTAAAATGGTGGTTAAGCCACAGACTTGCCTAGCAATAAAATACAGATCCTGAGTGCCAATGGTGAGAGAGCCTTTTTCTCCTTATCTTTTTTAAATGCTGGGATGAATTTAGAAATGCAAACATATAAAGTAGGCTTTTATGCCACATGTCTGAATCAAATTCAGCCGAATTGCCACTTTTGTAAAGACTAACCAGCACATTCTCAGAAAGCATAACATATACTAATTATTTCATGAGGTCATATGATTCTTGTTTTTCTGTGTAAGATGTGTCAATGTATATGCTAAAGAAAGACTAACTAGTAGTTACACTTAAGTAGTTATAGTGCAACCTCTTTATGCTATGCATGATGTTAAGGTGCTCAGAATGAGGAGGAAATAGCAAAGAAATATACTATCTCTAGAAGCTAATAATCTAGTTACATAAACCACATATACCAAAATTAGGGAGTAAATTCTGAAAACATAAGGGGTAAATTTGAAAATAAGGAAAAAGGATCCTTACCTTTGTATAATATTTAATCCTAATTCCCCTGAAGTTTAAATCTTAGGAATTTGCTTTAAAAGGTGAAGGATGGGTGAAGGTCACTTACTCATCTTCAATGTGTAGTTCAAGTACTTTTATTACAACTTTGAGGTGGGGGGGGAGTGGAGAAGAAGCATTTATTAGACTTTTACTTCTTTTCAATTTTGTGTCCAAATAAAAGCAAGCTTCACTTATAAGAGAATATATACAAGCATAATCTTTCTGCTTTGATTTAAAAACCCATTACTCAAAATTTAATGAATTACTGTCAACTTAACTTCAGTTAAAATGACAAATTAGGGGAGCACTGTTTTCCACTATGTATGAAAGTCTTTTAAAATTAATGGCTGGGGTTGGGGGAGTGAAGGCCATATAATCACTAGTAGGCAGTTAATAAAAAAAAGAAAATTTGTTTCTGTTTTGCTAAGGGTATATTTTTCAAAATTTCCCTTCAAATATACATCCCTGTGTAAGCCTCTTACCACCACACTATAACATCAAAACACACTATAACATCAAAACCATTTAATCTTGAACCTGTGCTGTTTCGCACTACATGTATCAATGAATGTTAGAAAGAGATCTCCAGCTGAAATGAGAAATCATGCCACTCATTTTTTTTTTTTTTTACTCAATAGGTTTAGGATCAAATTTAAAATAAAAAAGTTGAAAATAAATTGTAATTTGAAATAAATCAAAACTTTTGGCTAAAGAACATTCATCCCCAGAGCATCTTCCATTCAATAAAGATATTCTATCATTCACTGTTTTTTCTTGCTCATTTTACATGCTCCCTGATATCCATTTACAATCAAGAGCAAAATAAATAATATGTGTGAACCTAGCTAGGTCTTTACATGAGATTATAAACTGTCACATAATGAGCCTACTCAGCACAATCAAGAAGTAATCATATTATGGGAGGATGGTATTACTTAATGGAAACACCCATTTAAAATGTGCCAAGGACTCAAGGCAACAAATTTCCAAGATTCATATACTGCTAATGATTTTTGTCTTATAAAAATGGTCTTCTTATTCCCAAATTATAAAGGGACCAAAATCTATTTCATTGCCATCCCCCCAAAAAAAATCCAAATTTTAGAGAAGAACAAAAAGTCCGGTAATTTCATTCCACAATTCTTAATGAGATTCTATCCTTTATGACACTTCAGTGCAAAAATTATATAAATAGTTGGGATTCAGAGCACACATACATTTCAATGGTTTTGGCCAGTTGTTTCTGGTACTATTTATTAACTGATTCCCAAAATGTCTTTCAAAAAGATCTTTCAATAAAGATTTTTCAAAAATTTCATTGCCACTACCAGTATTAATCATTATATTACATGGGGGAAATTACCCAGTGATAGCAAGTGTTCAATTTCACAAAATGAATCAGTAGCACAGGTTGAGAGGCAATATAAGGCTCTGATTCAGGACGATCTATTTAGTCACAAATAGCAAAGAAAATTATCTTTTTTAAACCTCACTACACTACACTACATTTTCTCCTGAAGTCATTCTCATAGAGTCATATCATTTACCTGGATTAATCGACACTTCAGTGATGAGCTTACATGAAACTACTATGGCTGCTAAGTTTAGTGGCTATTGCTGCTATTCATTTCTCTTAGATCTTTGTAGGTTCCAATACTTACCTGATCTGCTTGGTGGACAACAAAAAAACAGCTTTTTTTCCCTTAGGATCTGCTCATCTAAGTGTTTCTCTGGTGTGTGAATGTGGAAGAAGATGCTAAAGAAAGGATTATAGACATTTATCAGTCAGTAGGCTGATCAGTAATGGCACTCAGTAGGATTGAACTTTCAAGCTATAAGGAGAATTTCTTCTAGTCATTCCTTTCCCAAAAGGAATTTTATATGCATTATCAAAAATCATTAGTAAATCAGGAAATTATGAAACAAACAAAGAAGAAAAAAAAAACAGCAGGCAATTACTACATTTATTGGTCCTAGTTAAAAAAAAAAAAAACCAGGTTAAAGTATTCAGAAAGATTAAAATATACAACTGTCAAAATGAAAGCATTTCAGAGCAAACTGTGCTGCAATATGCTACTATGATTAAAACCTATTCAGCCTGGGTAACCTCTGTAACAAAAAGGAAGAGAAAATGAACTAGGCAAATAGTTTTTTTTTTTTTTTTACATACTTTTCTAAAAACCCAGCTGTCATTCTGTCTTGGTTACAAAAGATAGGCAAGACTTTCAGCTTTCCCTAGTATTAGAATGTTATATTCATCCCTTGACATTTAGTTACATTAAAAAAAAATCACACATGGTTAATTCAGAGTATAAACTATTATTTTTACGATACTATTACTGTAGCACTATTATTACATGTGTTTTTAAGTCTAAACCTATCATAGCACATACTGAGGGTAATCATTTAGCACACTATATAGAGAAAGATCCTCACACCGCTTTTCTGACACTTTTTTTTTTTTTTAATGTGGAAGTATCATCAGACACAAATGAGAGAATAAGGGAGCAGAATGAAGTACACCGTATGTTTCCACTGTAGGCTGAGTCCACCTCTTTGTTCCAATAGTCTACAGCCTCCGGAAGAAAAGCTAAGTGCCCATCCATTAAAACACATTTTTACATTATTGCTGGCAAAAGTTATACTTCTGATGGGTTCAGTCATCTTGATTATCTCTGCCTACATTTGCTTAATACAGATTTCTGTCAATTCTAGAAACTGCAGTATAACCACCCTGAGAAACAGACCGGTAGTAGGACAATCTGATAAAATAACATAAAGGATAAATACTGAAGAAAAATGTAAAGTTGTATTGCTAGTAAAGAGTTCCAAAGTAATTCCAGGACAATTACACAATTTTTGTTTTTAACCAACTACGCACCTATCCAGATATTGTCCACCTTCAATTGAATTGCCCGGGTTTCCCTCAATCGTAAGATCTTTCAGAATAGTTTGAAGGTACTGCTCAAACCACAAACACTAACCACGCCCTTTGTCCCCAGAGTCAAGCCACCTTTTGCTTCCCCCGCGTCCCAGCCTAAAGTCCAAAAAAAAAAAAATGTACATCTTCCACCTAGAAGGATTTGCACCAGTTTCCTAGCCCGAACAAGAGACTCCGTTTAGCTGTGCCCTGATATAATTCCTACTGGAGAACGATTTCTCAAGGGCAGGGTGCACACGGCCAGAAGCAGCACCCACGCTTACCTCCCACACACCTGCAACCCCTGGCTGGATGCTGGAGCTGGTGCTGGGAGGACCGCGCTCAGCCTTGCGCCCGCTCTCCGCGCTCCCGGGAAACTACAGTCCAGGCTGCGCCTCCGGCAGCTACAGGGACCCACGTCCCGCCCCCTCCTCCGGTTGGCGCATTCGGCAGCTGTTGCTCCTCCCCTTGATGTTTCTGCTGCCGCCCAGGCTGGAGGCGGCGGGAAGCAGTGGCCCTTGCACCTTCCTGCTCCTAGTACTTTAGCAGCTCTGTATTTCCCTGGAGACTTCGTCCCCTTCCCTCCGTGGCCTCACACCTGAAGCTGCCTCCTGTTTCCCCGGGAACCTTAGTGAGACTCCCAGGCTCAACCTATCTCTGGTGTGGCCGCCCGATGTGTCTGCTACTCGGCTGCTTTCACCGAAGTTGCTCCACCGATCGGGGCGCACGCCCACACCGCGCCCTCACTCCACCCTAGCGAATGGTTCCCCTGAAGCGTTGACTCCGCCTGCGCGGAGTCCACAGTTCAGCAGCTGGCGCTCACCACTTCTAATTCTCCCCTCACTGTCCCTCCGCCCCTTTCCTTTTCTCTGCAAGCCCGCCCCACAACTGGTGAGTTGCCTGCGGGGCCGACCCTGCATCCTGATTGGTGCAGGTGAGAGCTGACCCCTCCCTTCCTCTTCTTTCAGTGAGTCCACTCTCTTCTGCTCACCTCCGCCTGCAAAAGCAGGGAACTCTCCAACTATTGGCTACAAGTGTCCCCACCCATCGCCTTGGGCTCCACCGCTTGGCCTGCCGGGGATTGTAGTTTCATCACGAGCAAGAATTGCCAATAAAGCCGGCGAGTGGGACTACGAGTCCCCATAGGCCCTTGCGCGACTCCGGCTGGGCAGGATTCCGGACAACGCCTGGTTCCTCTCGGGTCCTTCCGGCGTCGCCGGAGTGAATTGATCCGGGAGTTGAAGAGGGCTCCAAAGGTGGGAAGTGAAGTCAGTGCCTCAGTTGTCGGTAAGATGTGGCTGTTCTCTCCCAGCCCTTGTCGTCCCCCGCGGAGCAGAAGAGGTCTGGGGTCCAGTCGGGGCTGAGACTGAGGCACTCGGGCTTGATTTTGGCAGGCGGAGTAATCGGGGCTAGGAACCGGGCCCTACGATAGTCGTAAGCTGGGTTACCCTACGCGAGTGGCGTAAAGCGGGTTCGTAAATGTCGCCTCCTCAGCCAGGGCCTGAACGCCTCCAGGAAGTCTCCTCTAGGTGGGGGCGGGAGGGGAAGGGCGAGGTTAGCCTCCGGTGCCCCAAGAGTAGGCAGAGGGCGGATGTGACTGGGGTGGGGTCCACTGAAGGTGTGGCTTGGGGTGGAGAGGTGAAGCTGCAGTTCCCCCCACCCCCCCTCAGCTTTAGAAGTCAGGAAGGGCAGGAGGGGATGCTTGGGAGTCTGCTCTTGGGGTGACTCGGGTTATGCCCTTTGAGGGAAGAGAAAACTAGAAGGAAAAGTCAAATATTGACAAATATGTAGGGGTTCCGTTCCAATATCGTGATGTGGCCCTTCTCTAAGGAAAAAAGTAAATTTGACCTAAGCAGTAAAGCTTAACCCTCTTAAGATGTAATGATTTCTAAGATGTATTTACACCTTTAGTTTGTTTTTCCTCCAAAAAACATGCTCATTGGGATGTTGATGAGGAAACTGAGGGGATAAATGACGTGCCCAAGGTTACATATTGTAGAGACAGATTTTCTGAATAGCATCCAGCTACAGTCTCCATTCTGAATCAGCTGCCTCACAAGAAAGACAGTAGGGAGTTTTGGTTGTGTTTTCAAAGAGGGTGGTGAAAGTTGCAAAGTAATGCATTTTATGTATTTCTAACCAGCCATTTGTGAGATGAAGAGTTATTCTGAGCTGGGGAGGAAAATTCCACTCAAAAAGGTCGCACTGTAACCTTTTGGAAAACTAAGAGTCAGTTTCAGCTTACATACTTTCCTTATTTATTTGGGGAATATTACATGATAGGCTACACCACAATTTAGACAGTAGATAATGAGGTAGAAAAACGTCTGTTAAACAGTATATCTCATTCTTTAAGATAAATATTTCTTTCCTTCACTACCTTATGTCAGTTTTTACTCCTGTTTTGTAAAACTGAGAACAGTGGGATTGTAATTCTTTCACAAGACTATACTTTTTTCAAATACTAGAGTGTCCAAAGTTTATAGTGTGCTCATTACTAATAAAGAAATACATTGCTTTTCTTGGAGAGAAAAGTCACATTTTTTTATTTTTCCTTTCATTTTCTTGATCGTGTGTGTGTGTGTGTGTGTGTGTGTGTAGGTGTAAATAATATCAGGCCTTTGCATGTTTATTTTTAGCATCATCAATGGTTTTTAAATTAACCTTTACATTTAAAAAAGGAAAATAGGACACATTTTGTGAGGACAAATAATTGTTACAACATGTAATTTTGTAATTTTATAATAATAAAAATAGACACCTAATTGCTATGACCAAATATAGGTATTAATATTACTATTGGAAAATTCTTGAATAAAACTTTTAACAGAATTTCTTAGTGATAAGTTTTATAAGAGAATTAGGTGTCTACTGGTAAAAGATAATCAGTAATGGCTTCCTGTTATATAAATTAACCATTGAAATATGCTGTATTTTGAATGTACTCTGTAATTAATGATATTATGTGTCTTATTTTTTAATGCAAACCATTCTAAGATCAGGTGTTACATTTACCTGTAATTAGAGTTAAGATGATGTGTAAATTAATACCTCTGAACTAGATGAAAGATACAATACTGCAGAATAAAATAAAATAAGGAATTCAGTTGTGTCCTGATTAATACAGTACACAAGGAAGGAGGATCAACTAAACAAGTGGGAAGTTAATGAGGATAACTGGCTTGTGATACAGTAGAAGGTGTGATGGCTTTAAGTAGACCATAAGCACTAGTCACTGATAGTAAAGCAAGGATTGTTGTGCCTTTTCTAGGTGGCAATGTAGGCATTTACATTTTTGTTGGGGAAGTGTGAAAAAAATTTGTAGCTTTTGGCATGCGGCTATGAGACTCAAAAATGAGCTTTTGAACTAAAAGTCAGGAAGATTGGGAAATAAGAAGAGTTAATAATATGTACTTATTTATCGTATTAGTTACCTCTTGCCCTTGGCTCAGTAGCACTTCTAACTTCTCATTTTTTCTGAGTCTAGGTATTTCACCTGCGTTGTAGTGGATTCTATCATCTTTCAGTCACATGCTGGAGTAGTATAGCACTTTGGACCTCTTTGCATTGAATAATTTGTGGTTCACAGAGTGATGTAAATTTGTGCTGTATTTCTGGTTTCATAAGAGCTTTGTGTTAGTTTTTGGACATCACCTCTTACAGGACTTAGGATGTCTCTTATGCACCTGTTTCTCATTAAGGATACAAGGTCTAAATGAACAGGACTGTGTATTATTATTGTATTTTTGGTAGGTAAAATAATGAGTACCTGATTGAAAAGAGAAAGAAGTTCAGGTTGATGAAGTGCAAGGTCTTTGTGCCAAAGTACAATCCATGTCTTCTGGGTCTTCTGACTTCATATTTTTAAAATGGTGGAATAAAGACTCATTTCCCTTAGATTATAATATGGACATTAAAAAAAAGGACATAAAATTACTTAAATTGTCACATACTATTATTGTCTTACTCTGTTTAATGTTAAGAATTTATCTTTTGTCTCCTGTTCAATTCTTTGTTCTTAGCCTCATCCTTTCTCGGTAGTGTACCTTTTATTTACTACATACATAAGCTTCTTCCTGAACTTTTGAACATATTCCATTCCTCTCCCTGGACAGTTACCCATCTCCTTCTCAAATCTGGTCAACTAGTAAATTTTCAAGTCACAGTTTAAATGTCAGGGGAACCTTTTCTGACCTGCTTTGACTCCTCCTCTCAAAACTCTATTTTCACCTACACTATACTTCTATTTTTGCCGCATCATTGCAGTAGGAGCTTTGTTATTTCTGTGTTTGATAAACACTTTTCTCCTTCACTAGACTAGCAACTACTTGGTTATGGTCATCTCACTTATCATATTCTCACCTCACTGCTTAACACAGTGTCTGGCTCAAAGTCAGTGCTCAGTAAATGTTTGCTGAATAAATGAACACATGATTGAATGAATGAGTGTGTTCTTATACAGTTCCTACAGCTCTGTATAAGGGACAACAATATGGAACATGGAAATGAATAGACATGCTGCCAGCCATAGATAAAAAGGAGTTATTGATGGCTTAATATAATTTTTAGGAAGATGTTTGCTCCTTCTTGCAGCTCTCTAAAATTAGAATAGTTTTTTTTAAAGATTTTTTTATGTACAAAAGAGCTGGGGTATAGGCCAGAAGTATGTGAGGGGTAAGAGGATTCACCAGAGACAGATGAGGAGCAGAAGAGGTGGATTGACTGAGATACACTGCTGAGGGGAGCAGTGGGCAAAACAGGAAAAGTCTGCTGTGTCATGTGGGTCAACTCCCTGGCCTTGGTCAGAGAACTCTATGCTTCAGTGGCTGCCAAAAGCTTGATAGAGCTGTGACTTACTAACCCTTTGTGCCACCAGGGAGGCCCCCAAATTAGGATAGTTTTTTATATGGGATAATAAAGGAATCATTTTGTATTACACAAAATTTGTATAGCAGGCCATTTTGGAGACCTTATCCCTGTTCTACTTTTTTTGCAAGTAATATTCACTATAACAAAATATAGACGTGGAAGGAAATTTTAATGGATTCTAATTTTCCCTAAGGTTATCGCATTTTATCCTCAAATCAATTATTTCATGTAAGTCATGCAAGTAGTGTTAACACTGTTTTATAGCCATGGTCATCAAGACTCAAAGAAATTTAATGCTGTTGTTTACAGGGTCTGTATGCTGGAACCAAGGTCTGGATCTAAATTGGTTTATAGAATCTGTGCTTCTGTATTTTTCTCTTAATCATAGTTAAGGATTTTTTTCCTTTGACTTTGACTTATAATATCACCTGCTTTAAAGTGATTGTAAAAGTGAGTAGTGCTTGTTTCCAAGAAGCTTATTTATATTTGGGCTTTTGAAAGTTTTATATTTCTGTAGGTCTTAGTTAATACTGTATTTGCTTTGAGCTTATATACTTTTAAAGTGTAAAAGTTTGGTATTTTCAAAATGTATGTGCTAAATTTTAGAAATAAACAGTGGTAGATTTTGTTCCTGAAAGTGAATTTTCTAGTTCTTTAGAGTATTATAGTCATGACATAGAATAAATTTAATAGTTTGAGTTCTAGTAGCCATTTTAAATGCCTTCATAAATTTAAGCAGTTCATTCTTATAAGATACTGTCAAAAAGTGCTGATATTTGGCTTTCAAATTTGATAATACTCTCAGTTTTTATTATTAAATATAACTGTCTGAAATTCCTAAACTTTTAAGAAAAGTATTTGAAAGTTATTTAACAGGATTTGAAGTCATTTACTGTACCATAGTCCGTATTTGGCGTATAGAACTGAACTACTGCTTCTAAAATGTTGGATTACTAAGGTCATAGGATAGGTAATGTAACTAACAATTTTAAGCTAGTTCCATGATAAACAACTTTTCTCCATAATGTAAACTGTTAGAAGTTTGTGTGATTGTGTGTACTACTGCTTTTGAAATGGTGTACAAAGTTGCAATCTTAGAGACTAATGTTTTAGGAAAGTACATACACATATAATATAAAGCATGAAAGTACATTTATTGCAGCTAGTAGAAATAGCTTATTTACAGAAAGGTAGCAGATAGTTTGTTTATCCATTTTTTATTTGTGTGAAGATGAAAAAGTTTCTTAGTTTGGCCAAAAACATTAACTACATCTTGGATATAGTGTTATATTAAAATGATATTTTCCAAGGTCACTCTTAACTTTTTGGTATGTGTAATCCTTTTTTTTTTTTTAATCTACTCAGGAAATGATTTGAATCTATTCAGTCTCAATCCACTGTTCTACATTATGTAGAAT